CTTCTCAAAATGATTCGACTTTTGGATTAGGTTAAGGCTATGAACAGTACAAGGGAATTGCACCACCCAACATATTCGAATCAGGGATAAAACTTTCTCATTGCATAGATAAGTCATAAAATTTGATATTTCTAGTGAAAATAGCTCTTGATTGATTACTGAGCAAAGACAAACAGCCACTACGTAATTTATACCATAAGTGATTATTTTTATACTGTAACCCAGATTCCTACTCTGGATTTCACTGCATGTGGACTGCTTGTATTTGTGCCCGTAAAACTAATGTCTCGTGTATAATTAAGCTCTCAACCGATGGTTATAATTGTGTATACCATGTGACCTAGTGAGACCGATTTAATGATATATTATCGTATTTCGTGTCAGAAGACAAAACTGAACTTTTTCAACATCACATCGAGAGGTTTTAAGAAAAATTCTCAAATAAACCGGACAGTTCACACAATGACTAATGAGCTTAGGAGAATATCAGTAGTTCTGGGGAAAAAACACCTTACGCAACTCCACTTATAAACTTTAGGACTTTACTCAAGACATCAATAATTCACATTGTAGTCGTTATAACAAATTTAATTAGTTGTGAAAATAATTTTTATTATGTAATATTTGACATGATGTTGATAATCAAAAGTTGAAAAATTATGGTCAAGAGATGAAGTTTATCATACATTTATTTATTTATTTAAACACATAAACATTGTTCAATAAGGCACCAAATATATATGCGCTAAACTTCGCCATCCGATTTGTGTGAGAAAAGGAATATTGGCCGAGTGACCGAACCGAAGCAGATGGTTTTCTTGGGGGCCATATCACCAGCCTTTCACCTAGAGGTCTAATGCACAAAGCAGTGTAGCAACATAAGATGTAATTGCATGGTAACCGGTGATCAACAATAGATTCATACGCCATTTGTTCCTTCAGAAGCCTGTAGCACATGTGAGTCATTGGTTTGGAATCAGGATTTTGCAGTTCCTCTAAGTGGATCCTCCACATCCACCAACCGGGTTAAAGCGCTACACATTCACTTTCCGTCTTTTCGATTTCGTAAACAACAGTGATGCTACGAGAAGGCCGTGGACAGGACTTCTCTGGCAGTAGCTGCATAGACATGGCCGTGTGAGGGCATTTAGAAAGGGAGAGCTGACTCTCCCCACCCTCGGCCGTATCAGGGCATTTGAATATTGTTGAGAGAAAATATCATTGGTAAAATATTGTCAATAAGTAATATTTTAACACATCAACTCAAATTGTTTAGTCGAAAACATAAATAGGAGTAGTAAATTTACCTCATACTCAACAATTAATTATACAAACTACAGATCGATTAACGTTTAATACAACAACAACAATGATAATAACAGATCAACACTATTGAGTTGGTGAACAAGCAACTATAGTCAAAGTAATGTATATCATATTCAACACACAAGGATTAATATTTATTTATATTAAGAGTGATATATCTACAATACATGTTAAATGCAATTTACAATCTAATTGAAAATTAGTTGTTAAACCGATTTGAAATAGAGAAGACTTAGTCCCACTAAGGTTTAGGTCATATACACGTGATGCATCAATCTTTTTCTTATCCATATATAATCCACTTAAAGCAATGAGAATTATCTTATATTTTACAGATATTGAATTATTAATAATATTATTGATAAATAATAGGGCTTTCTGAAAGGACCGGGTATACTGGTGGTCATAAGGCTAATTAATACTTTTAATACTACCACAAGGAACCAACACGTACTTTTTCAAAGCTATCTAAGCAACTTTCGAGATACTGATCAAATGAAAGTTGAAATTGTCAGAGAAACAGATCTTGTATCAAGATAGGAAGTGACCTCAATTCAACTTACCAAGTACAGATTTATAGATTTATCTTTAAGCCATACTATATGTAAGAGGACTAATGATACCACCTGGTTGGTAAAACTGAAGTAAGACGAAACTCGAACCTGTCACCTAGTGGTTGAAAGTTGAATGTCTTCACCATTAACCCACTACTCCATTTTTCAGTTGTCATTACGGTATAAGTTATAGTTCTTTTTTAAAAGTACTTCTACAGTAATAATATTTATCTAATAATCTGTTTTAAAAATTAAATTTCTATAGGCACAATGCGCCCTATACCCAACCATAACAGACAAATACAAGAAGGTATACAAAAGTGAGTCGTCTTAAAATACTACAATTTACAATTGTTATTATAGACGAAATTCACTGTGAGGCCAGCTTAAAAGATAAGTATGCCATTACCAGATTATATCGTTTTGATTATGAAACAAGTGTTTGTGACAGCGGCACCCAGAAGGAAATACGTCAAAGAAGACTGATAGTAGATCACAGATTTGATTAATGGATATTTCATGGAGGACGGATAATTGGAAAAGATTAGTATATCCTGGTGTAAAATTATAAATATACTAACGTTTTTTTATTGTGACTAATACTCTCATTCAACTCCGTTTAGTTGGAATATAATTTCGCTTCTGTCCAACCATGTTCCGAATGCTAAACAACAAGAGTAGCAGCATTGTATGAAGAGAAATCTTAACGAAGACATACTGATAACGTTGTTAAGTGTGAACCATGTGAACTTATACAAGTGTGAAAATTGTGATGAATATAGAGTCCATGTAGGATAGCTGTAGATCTACAATTTCAAACCACTGGTACAGGTACCCTCCAATATGCTTTAAGAGCGAATGGTGTATGAACTTATGTTGACAACCTGGTACTAGCCAAATGAATTCCTTGACATTGTTCCATTGCCTTGTGGGTTGAAGCTTTTGGTCAACAGATTAGAAGTTCCAAAAAAATATTCTGCTACAATTAAACGCTCAGGTAATGTGAAGTTAAGTGTTGTAGCAGACGAGATGAATCCATGTATGATAAAAGTCATAATTTTTTATGCCAACCTGAATCACAATCAGTGTTGTCGCAAATTTTGAACGCACAATTCTGCAATGTGATTAGTTTTATCAAACCTACTCTTTGTGAGAAAATAATGCTCTTTATAATGATATCTCTTTATAACCATATGTATTCCCCGAAAATCGACCACAGTCGTCCCTGAAGCTTTGATGAGACACAGAATTTTGAAGTGAGGCATTGTTGTGGAAGTTTTGTATTTCCTAGCACACGGTAACTTCCTTGATGAGTTACTAAGTTTAACATGACTTATTGGCTTGGAATGTCATCAAACATGAATCAGCATAGAAGCTAGTAACTATCCTGTTGTAGTTTTCCAACGTGTTGGTTACAAACGAAAGGATTCCCTTCCAACTTGTTTTATTATTGTACCTATTACATGTTTTAACTTTTTACTTCTGTGTGATATGATCATTAAGTTCTGTGACGTATTTTTTAGGTTCCTTACAATGTACTAATAATCTTTTTGTGTTGTAAAATAAACGTTACATCCATTCTTAAATTTATTTATCTATAATTGATAAGTGAATGGCAAATTGGAATTGAGAAATTAATAACAGATAAGACAAAAATATAGAAAAAACGCTAAAATCTAATCTATATAAATCAATGGTGAAAGATCTTGCTCAGTAAATGTAGAAAAAGAAAATTATCGACCAATACGTAGCTAGTTTAAGACTTAAAGTGTTAATTCAAACGATATAAACTAGACTGTAAAGTGTTTTGAGACTGGTCTCACTACATTCAACAGGTGTAATGGTATTAGGTTAAGGATGCATTATATTTAAGAGAACAATAAATACCATTGAAAAAGTCTATAAAAACACGGGCATGATTAAGAAATTTATTCCTCTCGGAAAAAAACAGAAATAAATGAACGGTCTTACTTAATTTACTCTACACCCCGAAAACACCCTTGATATGAATATGTGGTCCTACTCATACATTCAACCCCTCAAAAGTATATAGTTGGTGAAAATGCAAATGCTTGCTTCATCCCAGTTAAGAACACTATGTGACCGTACACAGACGTTATTTCATGAGTCTTTTAGTAAAGAGTATAGTTCTCAGTAGAATAAAGACTAGACAATACGAAAATTATTATGACTTAATAGTTGGTCAATGTAAGCATTCCAATCCCGAAGGTCGATCATCGTCTGGATGGCTCAATGATGTTGCTGGTTGTAGGGACGTGTGACGCGTGTTTAAGTTACCAAGGATACCAGTTTCCATGAGATCTTAAGTGTTTTTTTTTCATGAGTATGAACTGAGATTGGTGCAGACCGAAAATCTGACAAACTGACTTATCTTCTTTGTTTAAATCTTCTCATTATGAATTTCCTCAACCCTAGACTACTTCAAGTTAAAATAGTCAGTGTAACAAAAATGTAAGACGCATCAAATGACTGAAAAGGCTAACGGAACTCTATGCGTTAAAACAGATCCTGCTGAAAGTATGAATTGAGGCCTATGTATATCACTAGTAAGTTCTGAAGTTAACAGGGATCTGAATATTAGCCAAGGACACACTGAAACGCATTTTTAGTACTATAAGCAGAAATATTAGAAACAATAATTATTTCTAGGTAATCTGGAGCATAAAAAGTGACAAATTCAAAATATTCTGCAGACGCAAGTCATATATAGTTACATCGTGAAAATGGAGGCCGTAACATATATACCCTTTAAGACTGGAAAAACTTAATTCTACAGGTAGGACGCTATTAGAATCAAAAAAGCACTTTGATTTGAGGCGTTTCAATTTCCATCAGATATCAAATATTTTAGAATCCAGTTATATCAATTAGCTACTCCCTACCTTTGAATTAATTACTGTAGCTTCGTTGGAAAGCGGTCATATATAGATACATAAAAAATGTACTAACAACACACCGATAATATAAGTTCTTACTACTATAGAGTGAGTAGCAATTAGTACGTTACTAAAAAGAATATTGGTATGCAAAAATAAAGGCATGAATACCTACCATTATTGTGCAAAACTGGTCTTTGAGAAGAAGAATGCAATTTCATACCTCTAGCACTTTCCAAAAGATTTAAGCGACGTAGGCAATCAGCCAAAGAGCTTCTTAGACAAGCTAGTTCATTGGCTTGTTCAGCACTTCGTTTTTCCAAATCTATAACACGGTCCTGGAGACCAGCATTCTCCAAGTTCATTAATTCAACTAAATGTTTTTTTTAATTAAAAATAGAACTATGAATAAAAATGATCAAATCATCTCAAAGTGCTTGTTAATTCAGCACGTCACATAGCATTAGCATAGCAAAAAGAATAACAACCAGTATATCACAGAAGTTACAGTAGTTCATATCCTAATGTACAAGGTTCCTGGAAAACTTTATGAGTGAATAACATGGATCTCATATTCTACTACTAGTTCGTGCAAAACTAGGATCTTTGCAGTTGAGCTAGTACCTGTAGGAGTACAAGAAACGAAAGATAGATGCATAGACATCTGATTGTGGAGAAGTGAATCAGTGGTTAAGGCGTCCGACTTTCAGTCACTAGGTCACAGGCTTAAAACTTACTTGTTTCCTTCGATTTTAGAAACCATGTTGTATCCCTAGCCCTCACTCTACGTTGCTCAAAGCTACTTTTACGAATCTGTATTCCGTTAATCTGGTTTGACACATTCATATCTGGTGTCCATATGTACCATATTTTGCGTTTTAAGTAAAAATTCACCACTATGATTAAGAGAGATGATGTAAATATCGGTACTTAGGTCTTGTATAAGTTAAAAAACGAAACATTTACTTATGCCAGTATTTTTGCGACTGGCAGGGAATTAGTTAACTAGGTGATGCAGCTTGAATGTTTCTATTGTTATTCCGGTTAAGGAAATATTTTGTATGTCCCGTCGACTAGTTGCTAATTCATGTGCTCTAACAAAACATAATTAGCTACAAGGAATGAAGTCGTGTGGACAAGAAGCTGAAAAGTTCAGTACCTTCATGGAGGATATAAGCATTATATCGTTCGAAAATATCTAACCTCAGTGCTGTTAAACCAAAGAAAGTGATTATTTCATACAAGTTTGTTGCCAACAGTATATGTATCATTTACGTTAGTTTCTGTATTGCTTTCGGATGAGTTTGGTGTGTGAAACACTCAACTGAAACAGTACAACTAAGGCCGAAAACAAAACGTCTTGTGAAAAATGCGACAGAAAGTAGTTTTCTAGAAAAGTGAACTTCGTGGAGTCAATTTGAGTACATTTTTAAGGACCTATAACTCGTACGAAATGTTGGAGTAATGTAAAGTTTTCCACAGGCTCAGAGAAGCCGGTATCTGAATTTCCAACCTACTATAACTTTTTTGGGGATTTATCACATGTTTCTCAAAAATTATACAGTGAACCCCCTAAACCTGGGTTTTTTTCACAGTGCAACTAGTAGAAATACGATTAGAGCATTGTTTTCGGATAAAAAGCTACATTAACACCAATTCACGTTAAAACGAACCCATGTTACCTGGGAGGAAACACGTTTTTACGCTCTGACTATAAAATAAATGAAAATAACCACACTAACCATGCATCCCTTAGACGTTCTAATGTAGTTAAATTAGTTGCAAGGTCGTAGGTTATTGTCCTTGGTACTTTAAAACGACCGTAATGATTGTTATTCCTTATATAATAAAGACAGGTTTTATGATTAGGTACAAAAAGCAGTAATACGTTTCTTGAATATATATGGTATTATCTGTATATTGCAAATTTATGTACAAAGTCTGTGTCGAGTAATTTTTGTATGATCAATTCAATCTTCAGTCATCAGTAATAAGGATAGGAGGTCTATCGACCTATGTTAATCCTTGCAGTTTGTAATACTGTGGAGACACAACAATCAGACGGTGCTGATATTACGTGTTCAGGTAGAGAATAATACCTTAATACCCTATAGCCTTTTGCAGCAGCAGCCTTACAGTGAGTGTGGTTTTGAGATCATTGTTTAATATGACTCCCGAATCTTTATAGTTTCTTGCTTTGAGTAGTACGAATCCATGTAGTGTATAGTCATACGATTCATCAGAGTTATTTAACTGCATCACTACACTCTTATTAGGATTTACTTCTAGTGACCACCTGTCTAACAATGCCACCAATGAGCTAAGATCGTCCTGTAATACTATTCTATCCGACATACTATGTATGGGTCTCCAACTCTTTATGTCATCAGCGAAGAGTAGAACGGATGATTTTGCTACAGTTGGCAATTCATTTACATAAAGTAAAAAGAGAAGAGGACCTAGGATTGTATCTTGGGGAACCCTACTTTTTACAGGTACCCACGAGGAGAGAGTCCCATTAACCCTTACCCTTTGTCTCCTGTCATGGAGAAAGTTACTAATCCAATCGACGACTGTATAATGGATTCTAAAACGTTCCAGTTTGAAGTTAAGACCAGAGTGGGAAACCTTATCAAAGGCTTTACTTAGATCTATGAAAATCACATCCACAGGAGCATTCCGATCCTTTGCCGCAGCCCAATCTTCTCGTGCAATGAGAAGATTTGTCAAGCAAGATAGGCCTTTCCGAAAACCATGTTGTTCCCTGGAGAAAAGATTTTGCCATTCAAAATAGTTTATAACAGCTATCCGAATGATTTTCTCCATCAGTTTTACAACTGCACTAGTTAAGCTAACGGGTCTATAGTTACTAACTAAATCCCTACACCCAGCCTTATACTACGGACTCTTTATGGCGTCTTTCCAGTCTCTAGGAAGTCTGGACTGTTTCAGAGACATGTCGAATAGTATCGCTTATGGTTCAGCACTTTCATCTGATATGGCTTTCATAATCCTAGGATGAATATCATCAGGACCACTGGACTTATCAGGTTTGAGATGCTGAAGTAGCCTTAAAACAGCATCTTTCTCAATGACTACAGGATCCATCAGCGAGTCGTCACGGTCGTGATGAATCGTTGGTCGTTCCTCATTACCGATAGAAAACACTTCACTAAAATATTCTGATAAAGCTCCAGCTTTTTCGGCATCATTCTCTGCTAAGATTAACGGATTATCTCGTATCAAAAGTGATGGAATTCCATCGCTTCTCTTAGTTCACCTTTTTATATAAGAGAATAACCGTTTCGGACTATATCTAGAATCCCTAACAAATTTTTTTTCGTATGATGGTCTAGTCTTGCTTATTAACGCTTTACAGGCATTTCTAATCTTTCAATAACTGGATTTGTATTGTTCTAAGCCAGTAGAGATGAACTTATTCCAGGGATTCTTCCTTTTTCTAAGGAGTTTCCTGACCGTTTTAGTTATCCATGGTGGACTGTTATTCGGTCTTCGCGGTACCAGGTATGGTATGAACGAGGACGTAACTAGTTTGTTCGTTTTAGTATTGTTTCAGGTCACTGATGACGCCCGACGAGTCGATTGTATTCAACTAACTCCATTTGTTTGGTCATTTCGGCAGTTATTTTGGGTCTGTGTGGGTAGGTTTGCGTCAGGATAGTAAGGTTTCTGGAACCAGCAATTATTACATCGCCACGGAGAAAATTAGTTGATCATAGTTTAAAGGGTAAGGAAATAAAATATATTAATTCGAATAAGCTAACAAAAGACGATCACTGGAAGTTAGTAACGCAAACAGTATGAACACTCAGAAGTGTAGGAATAATGCGTAAATGAAGATAACAGACAAGTTGCGAGTTATGCATCGGATAAGGTTAGATCTAGTGGGAAATGGTAATGCACGGGTTAGTATATCGTTGCATCAGGTCTTTCCTAAGACTATACGCTGGGGGATTACGGTCACTTACTGGGATGACATCACAGACGGGTACAACTAATGAGAAATATGTGATTACGACTGGGTTTTCTCCTTTTGATATGCAATTTTTCAAAGGCTTCCTCTGGGAGAACCGTATCAAGTTTGTCAGAGTAAGTATTTGTTCTGTTATCTGCCATCATTAAGTCGCTTTTTACTTTCCTATAGCCTAGCCTGAAGTTTCAAATATTGAAGTATCTCTCCTCGATACTACACAAATCTGAGATTCGCTCCTTAGCCTTATCACCCATATTTTCGTTCGGCCCTATTTGTTTTGAGAAAGTCATGCGTCTCATGATGGATGCCTAAAAGTGTCGCGGAATTGAAATTGAGGCTGAAAGTATATATTAAACAGCTCAAGAAGCAATTCTGGTGCGGTCACGAACATCACCAACGTGGATGTTGAAGTCTGCTGAAGTCGGGTAAGCATAGCGTGACTTTGTAGCTCACATCGGAGTTACAGATCACACTTGACACCTAACCTGCCTTATGCTATCGTAATGGTGAGATGAAATGTCTTCCTTGTGGGCTGTACAGAACAAATAGAATCCTTCTGAAACAACATCTGTTGATAAGAACAAGTTAGAAAAGTACACTGCGGAACCTCTCCCACTCTGTCCTGGTCAATGGTATTCAACTCACTAATCTGCATTAGTTATCCTTGATATTGGTGATGCTCGGTAAACTGTTAAACTTTTGATGATCAGCTATTTAACATCAAAACTATTCAGCTTGCCGAATGGCTTGACTAGTGTTCATTAACATTTCGCTAATTCTACATGTGCATTTGGACGGTATGTAAAATCTGGACAAGCCATGGAAACAAAATAAATTCCTACATGAAATAAAAATTTATCCTTCGACAACAGCACGAAATTGTCAACAAAAGTTCACTGTTCAGTTTGAAAATAGTTTAAGTGTTACCAGAAAACTGATGTATATAGAGCTTAGTTAAATAACAAGTAATTAATACTATGTATACATCAGTACCCACCACTAAACATGAGGGATCCAAAGGTATAACCATGGTTGTTTAAAAGAAGCTGGAGTTTTGACATTACCGTTAGTTGCGTGGCCATATCAAACCTCAGGCTGGCGTTTGTTAACAACTTCAATAACAGAAAATATTCCCGTCATCCTACAATAGCGACTAAAAGACGACAAAAAAATTCATCTCTGAAAATTCATTCAGTTCTAATGACTCCATGATCCACATATTGATATTAAGGTTCTTCGTAAAATTTGTCCAAATGTATCAGGCATCGTTCGCATTCAACTTTTTAAAACGGCAGAGTTTCTTTTCATTCACGGAATGGAGCCTGAACTTCATGCTTAAAAGCAATCTGTCTTATCGTCGTCTTTTTCGCGATCTTAAACACCGATATTATTGATGCTTATTTCATTGTCATAGAATATGGAAATATTCCTCCTTCTTAATCGTCTCCTACACACCATTGATTTTATTCATGATTGTTCCAGATATCAGTACATTTTATTGAACCATTCTGATATCATTAGTAATTACAACAAAACATGTTAATTATTTTAATCTACCCATGTTTCTATCCACAGTTAACTTATAAACTTTTACACTACTTTTATTCATGCATACATAATCTTTCATTGTTACTGTTTACCCCCTGTAATGTAATATTGTGATCTTTTCATTAATTCAGCATGTCTTTTTATTGTTCATATGCTCTCGTAGAATTAAAGCTTGACATGCTTGTAAAATGATACTTGTAGAAATACTGGTTTCCAACAGAATGTGAAACACATAGCATCGTATGAGACATATTTTTTACTGAAATGAACCTTAATGAGCCCAAATCACAAAAGGAGGGGTGGAGTCACGGACCAGCAATCACTGATGGTAAGGACGATAACTTTAATCTACTCATGTTTGTGGGGCAGGATATTTTGTTCGTTTCAGGCTCTTAATGATTAAGGACAAGGAAACCAATCAGTGATACTGAGGTTATTATCCTTTGCTCGTTAATCGGAACCATGTTGAGTTCGCTAATCTACCAAGATAACATATCACATGCTAACACAAACTTTCAAGTTATGATCTTGTGGCTGGCACCATGTAAAAAAACTAAGAAGGACAATCATTTACATAAACAGAGATAGGTGGTAGTTAGAAGTGAAATTCAGGACGCGTGTTTCGCTCTTTTTAGGACTCTTCAGCAGGATGTAGCTGCATTGCAGAGCGGCTGTTCACTCTAGGGCTCGACACCAGTATCGATCTCTTCAAACGTCATTACATCGTTTACTTAGCCTCTGAATCCAGATAGTCACTATCTTGTGCAATGGGGCGAAGTTTTATTTAATTTTTGTACTGGTTGTTTTGAGTTTTCCCATTGATGGCTAGAACTGCAGTTGATCAGTCTCTCATCGACATGTGTGCATCCCGAATGTGATGTTCACCTTGGGATGCAGGAACATTCTGCTGACGAGCCCCTAATAGAACGAAACACGCGTCCTGGATTTTACTTCTAACCACCCGCACAGGATGTACATGCGCCAAAAAGGTTGATCAACTGCAGTCCTGAACATTATTAGGAAGACTGAAACAACCAATACAAAGATGAAATAAAAATCAAATTCATCGATATTAGTGTTTTTTAACATTACTCTCTTTTGATGTGCTTTGTATTCCACTAAGCAGCCTTCTTTATTTCAACTTTGACTTCCCTTCCATCATTTGAACCCATTCCACCTTGTTACATAACACAACTAATTGTTCTGT